CAATGGCTGTAGGGCCGTTACAGCACAAGGATCACATTCAGGGGATGCTCTCATAGCCCTGCAGGTAACTCCACCAGCAGCTGCTTGTGCAGGCAGCACCTTCTTAAATTCTTACCTCCCTTCTCGCAAAGGGAGAGCCAAGATAAAACCGGTTCCTGCTTAAGCAGAGGAAACAATAGCGGGACAAAGCTACCCTCCGTGCTGCAAAAGCGCGGGTGGCCGCATGATGGCAGTCCTGCCGCTTGTCCTTGAGAGACACGAGAGCTGTGCCGGGAACGGCAGGCAAAGAGCTGCAGCAGGCGGCAGTCGTGCCGGCAAAACGCCGTGCGTCGGCCTCCCAGGTGCTGCTGTGGAATGATTCAGCATCCTGGCTCTATCCAGGCACCGAGCCACGAGCTCGGTTTCGAGACTGCGGCTCGAACTACATTTCATTCTGAATCTCGGAGGCGATTCTGCCCCCTTCCCGCAGTCCCCGTTTCCTCAGAGGAGAGAGTCATCTCCCTGCTCCATCCCCGCCCCGCCAGCTGTGCCAGCCCGGCCCCGAAGCCCCCCGCTTCCCTCCGAACCCCCGCAGCGCCGTGAGCCGCGCGGCCCCGCGCCGGGCTGAACAGCAGGGGGCGCTGCTCTCCGCACTGCGAATCCCTGAGGAGGCGGGCGGCCGTGCGGGGCCGGGCGCGGCGCTGACGCCGCTGCACGGGAGCAGCTGGGCGACGTAGGAAGCCGCGGTAAGAGAAGGGGAGGTTCGGCAGCGTTAACAACAAGGAACAAGGCTGCTGAGTGCGGGGTTAACGGAGCCGCACGCTCACGAGGAAGCAACGCCTAAATGTAAGGGAATAAAATAAGGGGGTAGAAAAGGGGCGGAGCACGGCAGCATTAGGAACCGGGGTGCTGCTTGGCTGCGTGCTTTGCTTAGGAGCTCCCACAGCTCCTCCGGAAGAGGTTCCCCTCTTCCCAGCGCAGCGACCAAGCTGTGGTGAGCCCAGCTCAGAGCTTTGCGCTGCCAAAATCCCAATGCGAAACTCTGCCTCCTCGAAGGCTGCTGTTTCCCAGCCAAACTCAGGTGCAGACCCCAGGGACAAGAAAGCTTTTGGCATCATTACAGGAAAAGATCTAGAAGTGCTGTAGGAAGTTCCATTCCAATTAGCTTCACATCAATGGTGGGGTAAGCATTACAAAGCATTTAAAAGATCAAATGCAAAAGCACAGCTTGAGTTAATAGGGACCGAGGTGGTTTCAGCTAGGAACATTTGTGGTTAATCTGATGGAGCTCTTTGAGGCTGTAACTGCTGCAGCAGTCAAAGCAGAGGAAACAGGCAGAGCACAATTAGACTTACAGCACGCAGTGGACAAGGCTTTGCAAAAGAAGCTAATGACTGAGATGGGGAGTCCCAGGATAAGTGGATGTGCCGTGGCTTTATGCTCTGGAAATTGCCTAGAAACAAAAGATGCGAGCAGGAAGGTAATAATAGAAACCTTCTATGTCAGAAGGAAACTGTTCCTGGGATGCAGTGGTGCAGCCAGCTCATCTGGAGCAGAACAAAAGGCAGCAAGGTGAGACAGAGAGTTCCCTGGGGCAAGGAGCTGCAATTTGCTTCTGAACATCATGTTCCACGGTGCCTCCTGCACCAAACAAACAACTCTCCTTTTTCTTAACCGAGCTGCTGGAGCTCTGCTTTTTGTATTCTCCCCTATTTTTTCGACAAAACCATTTGGAACAAGCAGTGCCAGTGGCACACACAGGCCCACCTAAGGGGATGGAACAGCTGCCTGGCTGTAGTTACGGGATTCATGGGAAGCTGCAGTGAGGGCTCCATGGGATGATGCTCAGCAGGTGTTACATGCATTCGTCTCCATGCATTCTGAAACCCCACACATAACGGGAAGCTGGGCAATGCCGGGCAGGAGGACCTCATTTTGCAGCTGTTTGGTGAGATTTGGAACCGATGCATAAGGGCATAAATTCCAGGCAAACACCACCACAGCACATCTACCATCCCACGGCTTTGTAACCTGAAAGCAAAGGCAGAACTGCTTTCTCCACGCCTGCCTGAAGGAGTCAGTGCTGCCTTCACGTTCTGAGGAATGCTTTCACTGCTCCATGGAGGGGATCGACCAGGCTGGAAAATGCATTTCTTGTTACCAGCAAGGTGAGATTGCAGTGCAGGGCTGTGCCAAGGTGTGTCAGCTCAGGTATGCAGCAATGAGGCAGCAATGTCTCCTCATCCACGTGAAGAAAAAGCCAGCATTATTTCTTATTGTCCTTCTCTTCCAGGCATACAGCTATGCGTATACATGTGTGAGACATACAACATGCACCTTGTATGCATATGAGTGCACATTCAAAAAAAGAAAAAACAACAACCAGAACCCTGTGTTTTGATACCTGGCTCCTAAAATCTCTCTTCTTCCCCACCTCATATTCGCTCACCATGGGCAGATTACGTTTCCCATAGGAACTCATTATTGCTGCTCTTTCCTTAGCATCAGGAAATCTTTTGAAGCTCTTTTTACTCTGGGATGGTAAAAATCGCTTATTGGTTCTTGTCTTGAATTACCCTTCCACCACCCTTAATTCAGATCACAATTGACCTTTTTAGAAAGCACCTTTTGGACCAGAAAATCCCACCGTGCTTCCAACCATCATCACGATCCCTTTGGTATCTCATAACCTAACAATGTCCCATGAAGTGTGGCCCTACTGGCAATTTCTTCCCTCACAGCACTCCCCACGCAGCCCCTAATGCACTCTGCAGGCTGCCAGCCCTTTTCCCCACTCCATATCAGATCACCTATGGAAAAAAAACCCAACATCTAAACTGTCCAACCTTCACAAAGAACATTCCCAAGGATCTGTGATAGCAGTGCTTTCTTACCCACCCCGTAGCACTTGCACCTCTTTCACATTCATCTCACCACAGCAAACACCATGTCCTACTGATGGAGCAGAAGAGTGTTTGGTGAGAACTTTACCAACTGTCTGTTGTCATGGCAACTTCCCAGGTAAAAATAATTCCTTGAATATAACTTATAAACAGACAGATGGCATAAATCTGCCCACACGCTCCCAACTGAGGCAGTCACTTAGAGGCAGTGTGTGTATCAGCTCTACGGAGTGTTTCCTTCAATGCTCAAGGTCATCCTCATAGTGCTCATAACTCACCTACGGAGCTTGGGCCAAAGGAGCAGGGATGCTACAGAAAGCATTGCAGATATACAGAAGCCACGTCAGCACACCTCTATGTGGGGCTTCCCGAGGGATCACCAAACATGCTCCAAAATCCCACACAAAATACAGAAGTGAATCCAGTAGCACAGCAGGAAAGCACGGACCTCACAGACCCCAGGGTCCCTCTGGCACAGTTCACTCAGTTCAGCATTTGGGTTCGACTCCCTCATGTCCAAAAACAGGCTGAATAAGAGCTGCTGTTTCACAGGACTGTGGATGGGGCAGGCTGCTGACAAGGTGCTTACCATAGGAAAGCACCTCATTCACCCTTTCTAATTACAAACATGCCCTTTCCCAAAAACAGCACAGCTTTCTCCTCCAAGGAACAGGTGCAGTCACAAAAAGGCACACATTTTTCCAAGTGAAACTGGGTGCTCAACCTAACGAATTCGGAGTAACCGAGGGACACAGAAACAGTATTAGGGCAGAGCAGCTCCCGTTTCCTATCTTGGCATTGCTTTGTTGTTTCATTTATCTGTTCTGAGCTTCCTTCCCTCCTCTTAACTACTTTTCCCACCAGGTACACAAGAGAACAGCAGTCACGTTACAGAGGTTGTTTTACTCTCATCAAAGCTTTTAAAAATGCTCCTTTCTCCTGCAGTCTGATTTCTCCCCTACCTGAATAAATTGGCAATCATGAAAATGGGAGACAGCCTGTGTTCTCCGGCGTGCTGACATTAAGCACAAAAGCAAGTTCCTTTGGAAATACTACTTGGTTTAGAGAAAGAACAATTCAAACCTATGACTTCATTCTACAACAGACACCAGGCAAATGCTTTCCCCACCTCACAGTGCCATTTGCACACACACACAAAAGCTGTGTCTCTTTAAAGCTGAAAAGACAGTTGATTGAAAACGAGCACGACTACCAGCCTGCATTTCAGCCCTCCTAGCACTGCACGTGGCAATACTAAGGGGATCATTTTCCCATTGGAATGCTTTCCCCCTGCTTTAACTCAGCTGTTGCTGTACAACGTGGCCACAAAACACTGCAATGCCTGTAGGGGAACCTCTGCATGCTGAACTTTTTGTGCTGCTCAGAAAGCCAGAGAACAGGCTGAGATGCGTTGTAACTTTTCTTACCAATACAGCCAAATCAGGTGGAAATAACAGCTCTCTCTGGTAGAAAATACTTACATTGCCTGCAGTTAAAATCACAGCAAATAAACTTTCCAGATCTAAAATTAAAAAAAAAGAATAAAGTTGCATAGCTGAGTTTTCTCTTCAGAGCCAGAATGGAGCTGAACTCTTCTCAGCTCTACACTCAGCAGCTGTAAACTCCTGTCTCAACCAGAAGCTAACAGCACTTTTCTTAACGTTGTAAAATGCACTATTGCTTTAAAAAGCCTATTAGAAAAATAAAGTCAAATTGCAAAAATTAAGAGTGGCAAAATACAGCTCGTTGTTGTAGTTTGGAGCACTTTACCCCTCTTTGAAGGGTTCTTTTCTCCTCCCGTTGCCCCACATCCACAGCACTGAAGGCTATAGGGCAACTTCCAATTCGAAGCTGCAGCTTCAGAAAGGAAAGCACAAGTGACAAGCAGTGTGTGTGTGCAAATTCCTTGGGATGGAAGCAGGCAGATCAGCTGCAGTGCCCTCTGCAGAGTCCCGTGAAGCCCCTCAGCAAACAGCAAGCATGCCAATAACCAACACCCAAGCTGTCAGAACCAAAACACCTCTCACACTAAAAGCAATTCATAAGGTTGCATAATGGAAAGGTTGTAACATAGGAACAGAAATGATGGCACGGAAAAAAACGAAAATGACATCGAGCTTGCTAAATATGTATTGTTTATTAAGGCTTGTATTCTCCTAGAGGAAAAAGTTAATCCGATGCTGTCCATTACTCCTTACAGGCAGTAACAGTCCAGAGACAGTTATATGTTCTAAATACAAGTCTAAATGATACAGATTAAACTTTATTTAAATTGGAGGTCCTTTTGGAGTAAATAGTATTCAGAAGATACTTGCTTTCTAATATAGTAAAAGATCCTCTACAATAAACACGTGCAGATTCAGTGTGCTAGAGCAGCGGACATGAGCACCATTTCCATGCTTAATTGGAACTCCAGTTGGTGACAGGCTCTCTGACAGTCCCCTCACTCCACAAAAACATGACAGCAAATTCATTTTTCTTAAAACAGGTTTTTTTACTCATCCAACAGAAAGAAATCAGACATACACACTGTCAATTTTAAACATCTGAGGCATAATCCATCATATTATCCATACTATTAGTTCCTACGTTATTAAAGCTCAGCATTATTGGTATAAAAACTTTAAATGGCATTGGGATTTGGGGGACGGGGGGAGGAATGGAAGGAGAATTAAAAATGATTCTGCAATTAACTAATAACACCTGAAGCTGAAACAGGTTTAAACACGTCGTCCAAAACCCCTGCAATGTTGATAGCATCACATTATTATTTAGTTCTCAAGCTACAAAAACCATAAAGCAGAATTATGGCTGAGAGAAAGCATCGCGCTCACCCCCGGCAGGATATGGTATAACAAATGCACACTGAAGCACTGCTTAACAGAATGTGGAAGGGAAATCTTGTCCAGAGAAACAATTCCACTGACAATTTGATTTGCTACCAGACAGAAAAAACCAATGATGGCGCGTTCGCAATTTGAGAAGTGTAATCGTACAGATAAATAAGGAGGCACAGCAGCTGCACAAACTGATCTCAAACCCCATCGTTCTCATCTCTAAATTCTGAAGTGCAGTTATCTTCAAAAGGTTTTGAAATGGCAAAAAGAAAAGAAAAATTAAATCAACGCATGGTTTCTTACGTTTGCCATGAAGAAACGGGGGGTGGGAAGAGGATAAAGGAAGGTCTGTCATGTATTCTCCATGATTCTCTGCATCTGGCTAGGAACAGAATTTGTGCCAAAATAAAGTCTTTGGGAAGCACTGACACTTTAGTATGCTCATGTATAGGTCCCACATTAGGTTAATATAACTGTTTACCAACTTAAAAAAATAAAAAGAGCCACACCTTTATTAATGATTTCTACAGAATTTTACATAGAAAAAGATACAAATTAATGCAGATCCACTTGGGCAAAAATAAACTACAAAGATGCAACAACTTAATTTCCCCTGCACGAGAAGATATATTGGAGCTGAAAGCTTTAGTTGGTCCTGATGCCAGGATACAGCACCAGAATACTTCAATTCTGTTTCTCAGTCGAATTTAATACCAGTTCTAGTATATATATATATATCAAACTGTATATGTATATCCTTATTGTTTGTTTCGATTCTGACGTTCCTGTAAAGAGAAAAGAGTTAAAAACAGTTAAGGATTTTAGTCAAATGAACGAGCAAAAGCATTTTTAGTTTATTACAGCACTGATGTGATCCCAGACAAGAACTCTATGCTTTGATATAAGGCAAAAAAAGATGCTGCTATATTTTATACTACCTGCACAGTCAGCCCAAGCTGACAGCGTATGAAGGCCACAGTAAGGAAGGGATGGAATACTATCATTCCCAATTGGAATAGGGATCTGTAACACTCTGCTTTCTGCATTACCTCAGCTACTGCTGCAGCAGCACAGTCTTGATCAGGAACTGCATTTCAAGGCTGATACTCTTATTTCATAACAACTAGAAATACATTGTAAAGTATTTTGTGCTTAACAGAAGTACCGTTTTCACTTTGATCTCAAATCAAATATATCAGCCCAGCATTTCAGGCTCAAACGGTTTCTTTACTGAATCCTGTGAACGCTGATCACAAAGTGAGCTGCTGAGCACTGCTAAGAGAATCACTATTTAAAGGATCCGAGGTAAACAGAAGCTGCATGCCCTTCCAAAGGGGGATACTTTGGGACGCAGCTCAGCAGGCGATATGGTGGCAGGGGGATGGCAGAATATCACTGACACCTTACAATACATATTTGCTGAAAAGAAGAAATAAGCTTGTTGATTCAAGGGCTTCCTGAGATGCAACTCCTCTGCAGTTTCAGTGACACCAAGGCGCAGACCTTGGAATCACACTGTCACAACACAGACCAGAGGTGAGCACACAGCACCGGGGACACAGAGTTAAATACAGATCTGCAAAGATGGACTGCAGACATTTTACAGCAGAACTCTCTTTCTGTCCTACCACAAACTGCAAATGAAAATACAAAAACCTGCAACAAGTTGCTTTTCTTTACAAGCCCTTATTTTCTTTTTCAAGACTCTCACATGCATTGCAACTTCATGTTTTAAAGGCTGATCACAAAATCTGCTCTCTCTGTGGACACATTCATGCTGCAGCAGATTTTGGAACTGAGAAAAGCAGCGGGCAGGAGAAATTCCATACCACTTCTCTTTGGCTTACTCCTTTCCTGGGTCTGGATCATTACATTAGGCCAAAAAAAGGCTTATAACTATGGCACATCAGAAGCTGGATTTGTATGCCAGCATGAAGAAATCAACCAGGAGTTGATGAAGGAAACACTGGCTAGAAAGATGTTAACATTAAAAAAAACTGAATGCTAGTGGCTTGCGTCAAATAGATTACATGACATCATTCTTTTCCCTACTAAGCACATGTATAAATGAAATAAAAGCATTCAAGCTCTCCATGAGTAATTTCTAAAGAATTCCAGCCTTTTGTAATCATGACGGTGATGGAGGCAGGATTTGTGACAAGAAGTGTTACTGCTAAGCAGAGTACAACGCATTAAAAAACAACCGCCACACCAACTTGAAACCCAATTCTGATGCTACCTATGCAAATAACCATTCCGAAAAGTCATTTAAGTTACCCTGACCAGCAATATTCTTGAAAAACTGTCATAGGAAATCCTGGCAAGAAACTCTCTTGGTAATCAGCTACACTTCTCATGTTCATTTATACAACAAGAGTGAGAAAAGAAATTAACTTTCCAGACAATTTTATAGGACACGTCCTGATGAGCAGCACCTCTCTTTTCACACCCTCACTGTTGATCTGCTTTATTTCTCCAGCACTTCCACCCTTCTCATCTCAGTGCACTGATTTCCTGAGAGCTGTGCTATTTTCAAGCCCATCCAGGTGAATCCAAGAAATGTTAAACTTCAAATTTCCTGCATGTGTCAGACAAGCCAGAGCCTCGGTTTTAAATGAGGCAAAAAGAGCCATTACTGTTTTGAAAAACCAATCCTGTTCTAGAAACGGTGACCTAAGCAAGCAATCATATTAACGCTTGAACTGAAGGTGCAAAATAGCTATGTATGGAAATAACAGCAAGTGGGGTCAGCTCAATAGGAACATCAGCACACTGAGCTACTTCAAAGCAAAGGAAGCTCGGCACTCAGCAAGCTGCCATCTGAACCTCCTCAGGCAACCGAGTTAACAGTTCAGAAAGGCTGGATGCCGATCACTTTCACTACTTGATGCAAACAGGCACCAACTGGTTCAGATTCCCCAGCACTCCCACTCCTCACACACATTATTCATCCCTCCAGCCTTGCTAACAAGTCACAGGGAGACTCAGCATGAAAAACAAAACCAATCTCCTCCCTAGACTGTAAGCAGTTGACTTTTTGACTTGCTATAGAGAAGTTTGCACAGCAGATTGAGGGATGTCATTCTCCCCCCTTATTCCACCCTCATGAGACTCCACATGCAGCACGGTGTCCAGCTGTGCAACCCCCAGCACAAGAGATGTGGACCTGTCAGAGCAGGTCCAGAGGGTCACAGGGATGATCAGAGGGCTGGGGCACCTCTCCTAGGAAGACAGGCTGAGAGTTGGAGTTGTTCAGACTGGAGAAGGCCAGTATCTAAGGAAAGCTGGCGAGGGACTCTTGGTCAGGGAACACAGGGACAGGACAGAGGGTAGCTGATTTTTTAAATAAAAGAGGGTAGATTTGTATTACATATAGGAAAAGAAATTGTTTACTATGAGAGTGGCGAGCCATTGGAACAAGCTGGCCAGAGAAGCTGAACATGCCCCATCCTCAGAAGTGCATGTGGTCAAGCTGGACAGGACTTTGAGTAATGTGATCTGGTGGAAGGTGTCCTGCCATGGGACATGGGGTTGAAACCAGGTGATCTTTAAAGGTCCTTTCCATCTGCAGCCATTCTGTGATTATTTAGGATTCCATCCCACACACGAAAACAGCTCTCCTGAACATACAGGGTGCTTTAAATACTGAACTGCCAATCATTTACTGAACGAATGAAATGTTGAGATAATGACTTGCAGGTTTTGGTTTGTGAAATCCCGCAGAGAGCGCAGAACAAAAACTTGCCATCCCTGCTGTGTTGAAGTATGCTACATATGTCATATCAGATGGTTAGGAAAAGTTGAGCTGGAACTTCTTAAGACACTGATCCTTCCTCTCACAATTTAAGGGTATGTTCTAAGAAGGCAGGTTAAAGCAATTTTATGTTAATTCTTAAATGTCACTAAAGGCATTAAAACAGCAACTTCAATTTCGCCATCACCAAACCTTGCTTTAAAAACATTTAAAAGCAAGTGTAAGCTGCACTAAACCAGCCTGCTCAATAAGTGCTTTAATTAAAATGCTATTCAAAAAAATGTGTATAAAACACTATTGATAAAGCAACTTTTAAGTGTTACCTAAGTGATAATTACACATCCCAACACTTAGTGTTGTGTCAGTACACAACTTCCAGACTGCCTAACTAGAGAAAGGTATTCTTGAAACTGAGGTCATGGGACAGATGACTCTTAGGGCTGTGAAAAGGTACATAAAAAGGTACATAAAACATTCATCATGCTTTCCCAGTTACTGCCCCAGTTTCTCACGCATCCTCACTCAAGACTTTTCAAGAATTAATAAACATACTAGACCTGAGAACCATTTGCCTTTATTTACCCAAGTAATAACATACATGGGGATCCAGCAGCAGAAACAATCTTCCTAGCACTATTCCATATTCCAGAATTTTATATAGCTCCTTTTCCAGAGTTTTAACTGAACAAGTAGGATCAACCCTCCTGCTCTAAAAGGCAAAATACAAATTTCAAATGCCAACACAGGTATCAATTTTGATAAGACAAGTTCCAGTCAAACAATGCTTAAACACCTCATATTTATGAAGCAAAATGCTTGTGGGGCAACTCTAAAATAGAAACGTGTTTCTAATCTACTAACTGCTTTAAGATACTACAAAGACCTGGACACAACCTCCTTCACCTGTAGATTAACCATAACTAGTGGTTATGGTTAACATAACTAACCATAACTTTTGCTTCGAAACATATTTGCTATGAAATTACGTCACATAAATAAGCATCAGTTGAGATGTATTAAAAACATTTTTAATTCCTACTTACATTTTCTCCATTATAGCAGCCTTCACATTTCATTTTCCCCATATCTGTGTATAAAATAAATTTTTTAATAAGTTTACCTTCCGCACCACCTCCTCCTCTTCTTGGCGCTTCTCATAATGAGAAAAGTCATCAAAGATGGAGGTCGTGTGCTTGTAAGTAGCAATAATTTTAAGCACTTGTTTTGCTTTTTCTAAGGGCACCTCCTGTGTATCACGGGAGTTTGTAACAGGTTTGTTGTCATTGTTCTCCAGCCTGATGTGTCGGAGCTGGTTGTTGGGCACATCCTTCACAAAGATCCACTTGACATCAAATTTCCCCTTCCACTTGTCCTGAGACCAGACACCTGCACTGGTGCCATAGTCCACAGGTGATTTCATCTCCGCAACTCCACAGAAGTGTCCACTGCCATTGACACTGAATAGCAAGTAGACCGGGCCCTTACTATTCATGGACCGAAAAGCACTGTCCAGGCGTTTGTTGCCATGCTCTGTACTACACCAAATAGAATACTTAATGGAACGATGAATATCATCCTCAGAATAGCTCTTTATTATGAACACGCGTCCATTTTTAAGGTTCCATTCAAAATCTTTAGGGTTATAGCTGTGAGCAGCTTTCAGTTTTTCAAGAACGGGATGGGACTCACCGCTTGGAACAGGGTTAGGCTGGGTGCTGCCAGCCGAATTGCTGTCATTGCCAGTTCCTCCACTTTGGCCAAAAGCTGCATTTCTGTTGCGAGGAGCGATCCAGCGATTTTGGGGCGGCTGCTGAGGGCTCTGATACTGTGGTTGAGTCAATGGAGGAGGCTGAGCTGGAACAGGCTGAACTATTTGTTGCTGTGGCTGTGGAACAGACTGAGGAGAAGGTATCTGCTGGGGAGCAGGAACTTTCGCCACAGGACCCTTATTGTCCCAAGTCCCTATGTCCATATTATGCTTTATAGGAGGAGGCGGCAATGCTCCTCCAATCACAGGTCCAGTTTTTGTTTTCATTTTAGGCTGTGGTTTTGCAGGTTTGCTAGCTATAGCAGCCCAAGAAGTCGGTTTAGATACTGGCAAGTTTACATTTGAGCCACCATTACCAGAGAGGGGACCTGCCATCCCAGCACTGTTAACAACGGAACCTACTGTTTTCACAGCCGAAGTCGTAACGTCTCCACCAATCTTAAGTCCAACCATTCCCTGTTCAATACTGTTCATTCCAGGAGCTTTATTTAATGTATCATTATGAAATCCTGTTTGTCCATCCACGATGGTACCTCCCAGTGAACTAGGTGGATAGCTGTAACTGCTCCCATACGCTGAACTTTGAGTCTGCTGTCCCTGGGATCCACTTGTTCCCCAAGCTGAGAAGGCAGGGTTTTCAGGGAAGAAGTTAAACCGGTGTTGATAGATATTATTTCCCAGACCCCCAGGCTGTCCAAAAACAGCATCGTGCATAAAATGATGATCTCCATTACTGAGCTGTCCATAGGTGGTGAGATATGGGATAGGAGGATCTCCTCCTGTAGACCATGGCGCTTCACTGAGGGAGTAGGGAAACCCAATAGATGGTGGATAATAACTTGACAGATAAGGATCAGTCATGGATGGATAGCTACTGTTCTGTTAAAGAAAAAAAAGTAACTTCAGATATATAAAATTTTGTACACAAATAGCCACAGTGCTACATAGAATCATAGAACCACTACATCACCAAACAGAAAAGAACAAATAGTAATTAATTCCTAATTTCTAAGTCTGAGGATAATTAGTATATCTTAACTGTTACAAACTTGCAGGTGAAGCTGCTTTAACATGACAGCAAACAGTAATATGAACACAAACCTCATCACGGGATTGTTTTGAAGAGCCAACAGATCTTAACAAGCAAAACATACCTGAGGTGGTAAAACATACAAAGGCTACTTCTTTCAGATAGGACCACAGTAAGAAGATCACGTATTAAGAAATGTGTCAAGTCTGGAATAAGACAATCCAGTCACTAGAAACTGAAGTTAAGTTGACTGATGTGCTAGAGAGAAGTACACAGACATAATACGTGCCAGGAAGCGAAGCAGTCTGGGACAAATCCTATTCGATTGTTTCTCAAAGTCTCTTCCTCCCTCAGCAGTAAAGCTACAAACGTTCAAGAGCATCCACAGCCACCCTTCCAAACAGAACATCTTTTTCACTCTATGAAATAAAAGACTGACCTCTCATAAACCAGCCAATCCACCTCTGAAATTCTAGTTTTAATTCCCTTACTCCCTCTAAACTGTTTTTCAGACCAGGTTGAGAAGCCTTTTCCTCTCCTTCAATCTCCTGCAGACGCATTATTTTGAAACATTCAATGCCTCTCTCACATTCAATAAATAAATATAGAATATTATAAAATGAGGTCTTTTTATTCTTTAAGTAAGCATGAAACCTAGATATCAGAGAGATTCCATAAAGATACTCTAAATGTAATTACCAGCAAGGAGGAAGGAAGGTCAACATCTCCTGTTAATGAGTTGAACAGCAGTTACCCCTTCCTCACTCGCAGAGAAAGGTGATTTTCAGAACAGGAACTAAGATTCCTTTCAAACTGCAAAATCCCAATCCTGAACAAAAGCCAGCAAAACGGCACTGGAACTTCAGCCATTTTTCCAAGCATAAGATTGTTTCTTAGCTTATTCAGAAAATGAAGCAAAATGACTCCCTGCTGAAGATGAGCATTAATACCCAAGTTAAGGGTTACAGTCATTTTTATTACCCGTTTTTCAGTTTATTCCCTTCCATAGCATCAAAACTAATATCCTTTCCACATAAAGGATGACACCATAAAATGCCACCAAGTCCTACATTCCCCACCACAACCACTACTGAGATTTCAGCAGCCTAAATTCAATGTCACTGATTCAAAAAACATCACTGCTGCCAATGCTCACACTGCCTTCACATACGAATTCCATCACCAAGATGTATACTACCTACTTTCCTATGAGATCCTTCAAAATGGATGAAATTTCCTAAGCTTTCCAAGCCAAATGAATCTATATGTAGTGTAAGAAAACATTTTTTTCTGGGAGACTCCACATCAAGATTGATGTCAATGCACCATTTCTTGAATTGTTAACGTAGGAAAAACATAAAAACAAACACTGGCAAAAAGGAGGGGAGAACAGCTCTTATGAGATACTTCTCTTTGTATACTCCACACATAAATATTTTGTTAAGACTGAGAAGAAGTAATGTAGAAAAAGATGTTTTGTTCTGCAGTATTTCTGCTAAGGGATTCTAGACAATTACTGAGACTCACCCCCTGTAGCCACAGTCTGTAAGTTTCAGCAAGGATTCTAATACTATAAGGAAAGTTTCAGCAAGCATCTTTACAAAGCACTCAATCTATTTTGCCTGGCATTATGCCAGAGCATGTAAGAGAAACCCTGTCAGAGACCCTTCACCATAACAGCAGTCACATTCATTTCAACAAATTTATCCTTGGCCGTTTCCTTTTTTTCTTTCCTAAACAACTGCTGTATTAATGAGGGAGGGAATCCTTTCTTCCAAGCAGTACGAAATCAGAATCCTATTTAATGCTACTCTCACTTTCCACTCAGAACTGTTCAGACCACCTACACGATTATTTCTTGCAGCTCACCAACTTGTTGTTGCAGCATTTGAAGAGTCAATGGAGTTGTGCTTCAGTCTGTGTACATACCTACACTTTTTTTGTTTTAAGCACATAGAGGCTCTTTTGCCAGCAAGTTCAGCAACATCACCAACATCAACAGTGGCATCTATCAGTTTCAGGCTGAACTGCACTTTTTAAAACAAATAACAGACGTACCCCTGCCAAGGCTCTCAAGTTTCTAAACATTTTGTTCACTTTAAAAAGATTGAAATTTAAGTCAAAAATTACTTCAATTAGAAGATTTTCATGACCACAGTGGTATTTAAGATCTGATGGTGACTTAATGTACAGCACAATGAACTGTTTTACTCAGTTTGCATTACAGGGTGTTCATTACCTTTAAAATGATACGTTTTGCAGACGTGTGATATTTCAGAGGACAGGAAAGAAGAGCAATATTTGTTGAAGTGAGGAAAAGCAAGCAGGATATCTGCGATCTCTTCTTAAAAGCAATATCCAAATTTCAACAATATTAACACTTTGGATTACTGAAAAGATGAGTTGCGAGACCCCAAAATCAAGAACTCCAGACTCCTACATGCAACTCAGCTATCAAAGAACTGCAAGTTCAAGTAGTTTGTCCCAGTCCAACCATATCAATAGCCTGCAACATGAGGAGCAATCAGCAGAAACTACTTGGAGCATTAACATAGTTTTCACTGGTGGCCATCTGGATACACACAGTAATATCAGCTTTGTGAGCACAAGGCTAGTTGTATTACTAAGTAACACAATATACCAGTCCTTTCTTTCTCCATGTCTTCAAGGAATTTGCTTCTGCAACACAATCCTGTGGAACTGGGTGCCAAAAGCACGCATAAGATGAAGAAAAAAAAAGTGAAAAAACAAACCAACCTGATTTGACTGCCCAGAAAGGTAAGGTTCAAAGTCGTTGTCGTGAACTGTATCCTTCTGATGTAATGAACCATTTTGTACTACAAAAAAAGAGTTACAAGGCATTATGATACGGCTTAGGAGTGTTTCAGTAGAGTTCCACTTTATGTCACGTTAGGAAAAGCCACGCTTCTCCACAGCATGAAGAATCTTGAAGACATACAGATCACTTTTGACCCTGATTTCGCTTTGTATCACCACTTACAAAACTGAGCTTGAGTAAATTCTTAAAAATCAAGCTTTCCTACAAACGAGTGAACACAGAACCCCTGTGAATCATCTCTGAGCCAAAAAAATACAGGAGTTCTGTATAAGAAATAAATTGGGAAACATCAGATGTTTGGGTCCATAATTAGAACTCTCTGAAACTAATTCACAGCTCTCCCAGCATGTGGTGCTTACTGCCTAAGTTAAGATAGCCACAGTGAGATCAGGTGGGCTTACATTTAATTATAACCAATGACTGCTGTGTGACTTGATATTCTGCCATTTTTAATCAAAATTTAAATCTTTAGAAGTGTGTAAAAGGGATACCTGCCTTACCCAAATGCCTACCTACACATAAATTCTTGTGTGAAATGCAATCAAAACCCATTACTTAAAGCTACACAAAAGCAAAATTTATTGGGTTACACCAAATGATTTCCTTTGCCATTTTAAATGCTGAAAAAAAAGCTCAAACACCACATTATGTGGCGAGAAAAATACAGCTACTGCTCCATATGAAGTAAAGCCACACAAAACTTAAATGTTTAACAAACAAGTTGGGGAATTTGTGAGAATAACTCTGGAAAGATTGTCAATGGTAGCAAAAGAGTGTACACCAATATTGGAAACAGAATCAAACTTCTTGTGAGCAGAGATAGCTGGATTTTTAAGGCAGTTTATGATAAATTGGAAAGCATCTGAGCTGAAGATACTGCTAGCCTCTAAAAGCTAAACAATTACATGCTTACGTAGTGATCATAGAATCAATCAGTTTCCTGAACCACTGACTGAAATTAGAAATCAGATGGAGTGTGGATGTTGGCATAAAAAGTTTATTATCTCCAGCAGTTAATTACTTAAGGAATTTTAAATGAATACAATTAACTTTGTAGGCTTACTTATCACAAATCATACCTGTAGAGCCAACAGCAGTCCAGTAATGGGACTGTATTTGTATAGCAGGAAACGACTACGCAAAGCATGTAGAAATACTCATACAGCAGACACCCTTATAGTTTTTTGTTATTACAAGGAAACAAGGAGATTGTAAACTTCACAGCAATAAGCTGGATGCACTCAAGACCGTGCAAATAACAGTTGATCCAGATGTGAAACAAAGCACAACTTCCTTTGTTCCAGATGTCACCCACAGGGGCTGCAAACCCACAGGTACCTGCACAGCTCATCTCCTACAGGGGCTGCTTCAACAGCAAGATCTCAGCGTGATCCTCACCTTTATTATCCTGTCCTTTCGGTCTCTGGAAAGCCACAGCACACGATCGGATGCACGAAAAGACATAAACAAACCGACAAACAAACAAACAAAAGAGAAACAAAGAAGTTGATTTTAGGAAAACGTTCATATCGACACACAGCCGACTGGGAGGGATGGGGGTCTCGTAGCAAACAGCCGCAAGGCACCGAGGGCTCATCCAGCCCGGCCCGCCCCACCAACACTCCGCACACATCGCGCCGTGCCCTCGGGCGGAGGAACCGAGCGCGATCCGAGCCCCAAAGCGCCGAGCCCAGCAGGGCCGCCCCGGCCGCGGCACCCCCGGGGCCCGCGCCGCTCACCTGAGGGTCAACGCTCGTGGCAGACATAATTCATGTACGGGGCCGCCGCGGTTCAGCAGAGGCCGGGCGGGAGGCGGGGCCGCTGGGAGCTCCGGGGCGGCGGCGGCGGCGCCTCCGCGCACAGGGCCGGGGAGGGGAAGGGGCCGAGGGGAAGGGGCCCGCGGGCCGCCACTCGGCGTCTCCTCGGCGGGCCCGGGGGGACGGTAGGCCGGCGCCGGTCGCGCCTCGCCGTGCCCTGCCGGCCCCGTCCCTTCACATGCCCCCCGGCCTGCCCGCCTGCGCCGGGCCGCTGCAAGGGATGGAGCCCGAACCGCCAACTCCAATGGCGGCGGGCGCCGGGCTGCGGTGACGTCAGACTGTGAGCGCGAAGCACGCCGGGAAAGCGCGGCCCGGCGCGGGCGGGAGGGAGGGGAAGGGAAGGCGCGCGGCGCGGGGCCGCACCTGTCGCGCATGCGCGGGGCGGTGCGGCGAGCTGAGGGGCGGGCGGGCAGGCTGCGATCGCGCCCTTCCTCCTCGCTGTTCCCCCTATTTCCCCCCCCCCCCGCCCTTTTGGGGGGCTCTGAGGTCTCGGTGGGCGGTCGGACGTCGGCTCCTGGCTCTGGCGAGCCGCGGGCCTGGCACCGATGTGAGATCTGTGAGGAAAAGGCGGGGAAGAGCTGCGCCCCGGGAGCGCAGCCTTCTGTGCGAGCAGCCGCTGCCGCAGAGCGCCCTGTGGAGCATCGCGCCAGCACGACTGCTGCCTGCCCGCGCTCTGCCGTGGCTTTTTGTCGGGTTAAGTCATCTTATTTTCCTTCCAGAATGGAGGTGAATTCTCGGTCCCATCAGCGCGGTTGATGCTGATTTCAGAGGGCTGAGAAGTGGTTTGTTGACCTCCATCCGTGCACCCTTCTGAGAGAGCCTGAGGACACGGTGCTGGAGAAGCCTGCTGAGCTGTGACCCCACAGGGCCAAAGTCGTATCTTTGTAGTTTTTAGGGAAGCCTGGCATTTCCTGAACAAGAAATTGGGTGAAATAAAAGCCTTCTAACCCTTCTATTATTTCTAGTGGTTTTGTTTTACTAAATGGGTGGAATATGCAATGACCAGAACTGCTGGAATTTCGTGATAGCTGTCAGAATCCTACTTAGAATCCTTTGGGCAGGATAAAATTAATAGGTGCTGCACACAACAAAATGGCATTTCATGCCTTCCCCAGGGTCCTGCAGTTTCTTAGGTGATTTAGTATTGTTCAGAAGCTTCTATAATAATTTTTTATATCTATTTGAGTTCTGATGGCAATAAAAAGTTTCATTCCAACGCTCCTATACAACAGTGGATCTTATTTACTATTGGAGATTTCTAGAATGTAATGTCTGACTTCGGAAACTGCTGAAATAAACGGACTTGTAACAATGTTAACTGATTAACAGTGATACTGAAGCTATCTTTTCCCACCTTACGTAGGTGCCTGACGTCTGTTTGGAGGATGGGGATGTCCTTAATTTGGCCACAAGCCTGTTTTTGTGTGTGTTTTTTTTCTTGAAAGTGTCAACATACGTGCAGAGATTTAGTTTGGTAAGTCTCTGTTGCCTTTAAACATACTTCTTGTGTAGGTTTCATGATGTGAATATACCACTTACAGTCAGCAGATACATACAAGCACATTTGAGAGAAAAAAAAAAGGATCAAAATTAGATTCTCAATATGTGTATAATGTGTAAAGTAGGTAAATCTGCTCCCAAGAATCCCTGCATGTGCCAGAAAGGCCATCTAGGGACATTGCTTCAGTAACAAGTGTGAAAAAGCAAACAGCATGGCATGAGAGTGGAACATCTGTCAGAAAGAAAGAAGGAAAGGATAGTCCTGGATGCTTCTGGGCACTGCTTTAAAGTGTATATGACTGTATATGTTCACTAGTCTTGATATAGAAACTGTATGACTATGAATCATCTTAGCTATGAATGCCATGAATGTATGTAGGCAGCATGTGAATACTCTATTTGCTTCAACATCCTAAGGTACAGCAAACTAAAGCTGTTAGGCTATTCTTGGTTTTTTTTTAGGTTAAAAGATAGTGTATGTCATATATATATATATGTCATATGTATATGTCCAAATTCACATTTGCGAATTTATTTATATATATATTTGTATATATATATATATGTATATTTGTATATATATGTATATATATATTTGTGGATTTATTTTTTACTTTTGCATTAGGAAAATGTGAGTTGTTGGTACTTCCTGGTAACTTTAAGACCATTTGTCTTGCTGTCTCCAGCTATACTTTAACCCTTGCATTTACTGATTACTTTATTTCCAAATCAGCCTGATAATAGCAAATATATTACGACTGTGTTTACATTCATTTCTTCTTAGAGAGTTTCCAGTCACTGCCTAGCATGTGTGTCCAGTAATCCTTGAAATGAGCTCAGCAATGTAGAATTTACCACTTTCCTCATACAGAATACATATCCTCATACAGAGGCATGGTGGTGATGCTGTCAATCCTAGCTGATATTTTCTGTTTCCAACATTTGTTTTTTCTGTAGTTCATTGCACTCTTTGGCTTAAGACAAGCTCAAAAGCTCATTAGGACACCTTAATCCTCTGAAAAAGAACTAAAAATATACTCAAATTGCTGAAAAAGATAAATATTAGTTGCATAAAACACTTTATTGAATATGGTATTTGCTTTCAATATTTTGGTGGGCTAAAATAAGACCTCCAAATCTATCCTTCAGCATGCTGGCTTATTTCTTTCTTTCTTTCTTCAGCAGACTTGTCCCTTCATTTTCTTCTGCTGCAGTGACCTCACTAGGAGTACTTCTGAGCTTTCCTTTGGTGGTGGAATGCTCTCTCCAAAAACTGAGCATCTCCCCACAGAAAGCTAACCTTAAGCCTGTCTTGAAGATTGCATGATGTTAAAAGAATGGTGTATTAACAGTAACAACAACAAGACTCACAGCTAATAATCACTGCCAGAAATTTTTAAAATTGTCTTAGGAGCCCCCTTCCAGTTCTTCTGAAATTTAATATTGCTTTTCCCTCCCCAAGAGGCTTGATGGATAGGGAAATGACAATACAGAAAAAGAAAAGCTCGTTCTTGACACTGCCCAAGGCACCTCACAAACCTGACAGGTTACTCAGCTTCCGCGTGTTCAACTTCACCACCTTTTAAATGGAAGTGAAGAATATCTGTGATGTATTTTGAGAGATTTGCCCTCGAAGCAAAGCAAACATGGAACCATATCTCCAGTCACCATCACCCCAGGGGCTTTCCCTAGCAGCAATGTGGTTGCAAAGGCTAAGCAACTCAGTACACCACTACCACAACACCACAGTGCATCACAACTACCTTCCATGTGCCACAGTCAGATCTTTTAAGCTTTCTGTGACAGCTTCCCTGACATCTGCCTTAAGACTGCTAACATGCTTCATAGGCATGGCCATGAAATAGGCAGATTGAGGAGCCTCCCACGTTCCCAACACTTCCCGAGGTCACATTTAGAAGAAAGTTGCTTAGAAGCAGGTCATAGCTTGTAAAATACTTCCTGAGAACAACTAATGATTCTTACCTATGGGCAGGTGACTTGCAACTGCCCATTAATAGAGCCCTCACACGACCTCTGTAAGAGGGATTTGTACATTCTGTACTTCACATTTTTACGATATATTCTTCAAGAGCAGGAGATGTGGAGCAGATGAAAATGTGGATTACATATAAACTCATGATGGACAAATTAAAAAGAGCCAGTTCCACGTGTTACAGTTCTGTACATGTTGTATATAAGTACTGCCCCCTACTGCTCAAGGGATTTTCATAAACGTATTTAATTTTTAAAAGTTTCAACTTTTTAAATTAAAATGTTTGCAAAAGCTCGCCTGTAAGAAAAGGGCACGTGGATCTTTTTTCTTAAAACAAAAATCTCAATTTATCGTTTTTTGCAAGCATAAGACACCTGTGCCCATTCTCTTGCTAATGGGCAAATTATGCTTTCCCAAAGACATTCTTCAGAATAAGCTGCGTGCATCTTCTCAGCCACAAAAGCCATGGAGATAAACACATTTCCAAGTAATTGCACCTTTCAAAACTGACCTTAAAATTCTTTATTCTGAATTATGACTGCAGGAATGCAAAGGAATAGGAAGATTTCAAATTGTAGAGACGTGATGGTAACAAGAATTGGTGTTAATTCCCAAAGTAAAAGCAAAGCAATCAAGCATTCTTCAGTGAATTCTTGTTGATATTATCTGTTCATTTCACAGTACATTTTCTTGGAAATTTTAAGGTGCAAAACATGCTTGTGTGAGAGCAAGGTGAAAAAGATAAAGTAACACCACTGTGGTCAGAGCATTACTGCTGGTGCTCAGGGCTGTCACCTTTCTAGGGAGCTGCTGTCGCGCCCTTGTGTGACGTGCTCTGAAATATTTGATGGATGTCAGAACTTACATCCAAACAACCTCCTTTTAGAATGTGGTTGTGTTTGTCTCTGCTTTTGTATCAATAGAAATTAAAGAAAAAGCTCATAGTTGCACAAAATGTTATCAATTTAGAAAAAAACGTGCTTTCCTGTTGTGGTATAGAATAGTGTCATCTGCTCTGGCTTGAAAGCAACTCCCTCTTAATACCTCGTTGCAAAAGCAATATTTGAACCTGATTCAGCAGACAATAAAATCCCTCAGTTTCCCTGTAGCTTCTGGAAAGCTGTATTAAGATGTCTGGGCATTTGCCATGGAGGAATATTTTTCTACTTCAAGACTGCATTACAATGCCAGATTCCAAAGGGGTTTTAATAGACACCAGCATCAGACTATAAATCCTTAGACCATGTTTGTGAGCTAGGAAATATACTGGTCCTTATTTTAGGGACAAGAAAACTGAAGTACAGAGTCTTCAAGCCTTCAAGCAAGTACTTAATTGCTTCTTATTAGAAAGTGGATTTAACATCTGCAAAATCGGGGGCACGCTGAATGTGTTTGTACTTGAAGTGTGTAACAGATCCATCCCACTTTGGAGTCATTAAGCTGAGCCCAGTGCCGTGCACAACGCTGTTGTTGCTATCTGTATGGATAGCGATTCATCTGTATGTCTTCACAAGTGCTGAGGCGCATTCTGTTTCTTGGGGTTTTAACCTCACTACAAGACTGAGGTATTTCTGAGGGACTCGAACAATTACCTTCCACAAGAAACTTGAAATTAACTCCCTATCTTTCCCTGGTGACTCACACTTATAGAGATGCAAATCGGGCCACTTAGCCAATAGTGAATTTCAAAACAAAACCAACCAATCAGGGGAAAATGAAGCGTTTAAAATGGCCTCAGTGGCAGGTAGGGTCACTTACATCTCGTAAGAGTTTTAGCTGCTTTTGTGGAAGGTGTGCGTGTTGCTGAGAGGAGTATAGGCTTGAGCCTTGTGGGGTTAAGAGAGGCTGTTCCTGGTTGTGATTTGTTGTTTGCTTCAGGTAAGCAAAGCTCTTTTGTTGTTTAATAACTTTTCTACTGCTTTTGTTAGAGAGTATGGTTTCTATTAACTGTGGTGTTGCTTTAAAAGTAGGTTATGGAGTAAAGATAAACAGTGTTTAATAGGAGAGCATTCTCTCTTACTCATGTTATAGTAACTTCAAGTTTCAGTTGAGAGACCGTTGTTATTAGTTATCTCTGTGCTTTGCAAAGAATCAAATGTCTCTGAACCACGGCATGTTTTCCATACTGAAATACCTTTTCTTCCTCCCTGGTTGTGCTTTAAAAAACAAACAACTTACTTCTCCTGTGAAGTGTTAAAGTGTAGTAACTCCATCCTTTTCTTTCTGTAGCTTTGTTGTGAGGCTTGTTACAGTGCTTGTAACGTGCTCTTACAAAGTGGAAATAGCCTATAATAATTCTTGGTCATTTTCTATGTGGAAAACAATGCTTTTAGTCTTCTGAAGATCAAAATTCTCATTTAGCCTGGGCCCGTGATGAGAGCAGCTCTCCAGCTGTGGATCTGCAGCTAACACTGAGTCTCTGTCACTTCTCTGTGTTTTGAGACCCAGAACCTGCTGTGCAGGTTGAAAAACTCTGCTTGTAAACTGCTCAGCCAGTGAGTTCTGCTGTGTGTTGATGCTAATGCAGCTTCTTGGTTTGTCTTCCTATGGATTTTACTTTACATCAGCAGTGTAGTTCTCAGTAACTGCTACAACATCTTAAACAAAAACAGTTTCTAAAACAAGTATGTAGAGTTGTTTTCCTTGAAATTGTCTTCCATGATTATGGTTATAGGAAAAAAACTGATTTCTAATGAACTTCCTTTTCCTTGCTTGTTTCTGTTGAGAAGTGTGAAGCTGAGCAAGCATCCTTTTGGCCTTTAAGATCTCACTGTGCAATACCTATGATAAACAGATTTATTAAGTTTCCCTACAGGTCTGGCAACTAAAATGCCCTGTAAGTTTTTTCCCTGCGATGTCCTGCAGTGCATATTTCAGAGGAACAATCCTTTAGAGATGCTGGTGGCCTAAGTGCCTCTTAGGTCTTATATGACTATGCTTGCTGCAGAGTAAGCTGCTATACTGGTGTGCTTTGTGTAAATGTTTTTTATAGTGTACTCAGTGTGCTGCAGTAGTTAGCTTGCAATTTAAACTCTTGGGTTGTATGTCAGCTTTGAAATGATGTATTTCTTTAGGTGTGTAAGTGTATTTAGTTTCTAATCTGCATGTGTAGTGCAATGGCTCTGTGTGCTTAAATGCTTGTTTATGACAACCAGAAGTCTCCTTTTCCTTGGGAGGAGCTGACCTACTGGGTTGGGTAGTGAAAGGATTTTCAGGATGCTTAATTCAAAAAATAACAGTAAACTGTATTTGTCATTTAGTCATATCTGCAGTGATTTCACTCCAAGGGGATTCCTTTAAGTATTAGTTAAATTGGTTAAATTCTTGGCTGTGTAACTGTGTGACCTTTGGAGGTGTATTTGCTGTCCACGTAGCCAGCATTAGAAGCAATAGCTGAGTTGTCTTAGCTTAATTGTGCAGGGAAGGACTTATCTCTGGAAGGATGGGGGCTTGGAGGAGTTGGAATTCAATAGCTTCGTATTCTGCCTGTGTTACTTCTGTGCAAGAAGTTTAATGTCTTACCTTTCCTTGACTGACTCCTCCCTCTAGAAGCTGGGCTTAATTATTTTAGATTGCTTCCTGGAGGATAGTCCATAATAGAGACATTTCTACATGTAATGTTTAATTCTCATAATAAGGCTCTGAGAAATCTGCTCATATCCTGCAGCTGCTGATATCCTGCAGCACTTAGCTGTTAATTGGATATTGAGAGGATGCCTGTTTGAGTGTGGCTGTTCTTGGCTTTATGTGGTCCCTTCTGAAAGGGTTGTTGTGTTTTTACTGTCTTTCTGGGGTGGGCTGCAGTCTTTTTTTGATGTTATAGTCTGAACAAAATAACTGGGGATTAAATACAGTCTGAAAGCTGGATTGTCTCAGCAAGAGGCAGTGTAGGTTTTGCCCTCCCCCTCTATTATTGTTCCTGCAAGCCTCTCTCCTGTGAATTGGTTGAAGGGATCAGAAAGTGCGAGTGTCTTCCTTTCAGACTTACTAGTGAGGATTCAGCAAAACTTGAGCAGCAAAGTCCAGAAGCACCAGACCTCTGACTGAGCTGCAGTTCTGAAACAAGCTCAGCTGTGTAAAGACCACGAGCATTCCAGAATATGCATGGGGATGAGCTGTGGGGATGTAGAACAAATAACACAGGGTAATTCAGCCTGACACCAGGAATCCAGCTGACTGCTCTGGATTCTCATTCCTCTTTCAGGACGAGGACATGGCAGACACAGCACCAGCAGAAGGGACTCATCTCAGGACTACTTGCTGCCAGCTGTTCAATTCCAGCATGAGGGACGAAGCAAGGAGGCTGAGCACTTTCTCACAGTGGCCACGCAGCTCACCAGTGTCTGCCTGGGATTTGGCCAAGGCTGGCTTTTTCTTTGTGGGTCCAGGAGATCAAGTACAGTGCTTCAGCTGTGGTGGCATCCTGAAAGACTGGGAGCCTGGTGATTGCCCAATATTGGAACACCTGAAGTTCTTCCCTTTCTGTGAATTCATTTCTCATGAAGCTGTTTGGGACCGACAGGTTTCCACTCAGGGAGTGTTTGACAGTGTAGATGGGCAGTTCCTCAGCCTCTTGCAGAGGATAGACAGTGAGGAGACAGCCCTGCCCAACCAACCAGAATACCCAGAAATGGTAACAGAGGAGATGAGACTATCAACATTTCAGAACTGGCCACAGTATACTGAGATGCATCCTGAGCAACTGGCTAGAGCAGGATTCTTCTACACAGGTAGGAACACCCGGTAAAGTCTCTTTTTTTCTTTGTCTGTGTAATGCTGTGAAACTACATTCATAAAATTCCTGTATGGGGCATTCACAGTTGAGTTTTGATTTACCATGCCAAATGTTGGAAGAATTGTCACTTCTTAGCAAGAGCTAGAAAGGGAGAGGAGCTGAGGTAAGCTCAGTTTAGCTGGACTGTTTAGCTGGACTGCTCTGGAATGCAAATAATGAAGTCACTGGAGGTTCTGTGAACAGTATTTAATGGTGTAGTGTGAATGTTACATTGACACTGTAGGTCAACAGAGAAAAATGTGTCACAAAAATGTGTTTGAAGGCTCTGGAGTAAATGTGATCCCTTGTAAAGCAGAATGTATTTGTTTTGCTCTTACACTGTGCCTTCATAAAGGCAAATGTGTTGCAAGGGTACTTTCTACTACTATCTTGGTTCAGATTCAGTATCCCATAGTAACTTAAAATGGTGGTTGGTGTTGCTGTTGTAGGTACTGCTTGTGACTTCATGCTGAAATATTTTTAACACTTTGGTGGTGAGTCTCTTCTGGCTCTGTTCTGATGGTACGAGTGTAAACCAGCTGATATTCTTATACCAGCTTGTAGCTACCTAGGCATCAAAGAAAGCTTACTGAATTTGCAGCTTTTTTCCTAGCTCAAGCACTACTTTAATTACTGCATTTTCTTAGCTCTTATTCAAGTCAACTTTTGAAGATATCACTGTGTATTCATGTTCTTGCTTGTGCAAATACTTGCAAGTGCATCTGGTACAGTTATAAACCACATCCTTCTGTGTGTTCCGTTCTGTCTTACCACTTGGGCAGAACTCACTTCTGTGCTGGTATCTGGTTTGGATGCTGATGAGTCCACTAAGTCTTTTCTTACTAGCAGGAATGGAAAGGCAGTAAGTTTTAAACCAGTTTTTACCAGAATGAGAGTGTGTGCTTAAAGATTCAGCAAACCTATTTGTTACCTGTGCTTTTAGAAGAACCCAAGGCACTTCTTGATATGCTGTGCTTCATAAGCTCTGTCTTGCACTCCAGCCTTCTCAAAAATAAAAAAATACAAACTTGAATAAGACTTGTAAGGTGGCAAATTAGGCTGTCACTGTGGTTTGTTGCCATAAGGACTTGTATTACCAAACTAAAAAAAAAAATACTTTTGAGTAAAATATGCAATATTTCTTGTATGCATGTAAGTATACATCCTCAGCTGTTTCTCCTAGAGAGGGCTATGCTGGCTAGGAAGCATGTCTGAGTCAGTACTGTTTCCTGGATTGAGAAGTTGGAAAAAATCTTTACAGTACCTTCATGATTGACTGCAATTCAATACTGTGCGTGGGGGTGGGGAATCCTTGCTGTCTAATATAGTGATACTTCTGTTAGAAACATCCTTTCTTCCATATGGTAAAGGAACCTATTGGTTTCATATTTGCAGATTAGGCTTTATAGACACTTCCATGTCTATTACTGAAACAACTTCTTGTGTGGGGGGGGGAGGGACCGTATATCCCAAATGTCTCATGCCCTCACTGCTGAAGTAAAACTGAATTGCCTTTCTCTAACTACTTGGTGAAGATGGAAGGGCAGTCTTACCTGTGGTGAATTTGAGATGTGGCACAGCAACATGCACACTGGAAAGCCTAACTGATCTGATCTTTCTGTCCAGCTGGAGAAAGTGGCTGGCTTCTTAAGTCAACTTCTGTTTAAGTCAACTTCTGTGAGGCTTTCACTGAAACTGTAACCTTGCTGTAAATCCAGTTAAATACTAAGAATCTGCACCTATCTGCTCATGGTGCAGCAGTGGAGGTGAAGCAGCATGTAACAGAAGAGCAATATAGGCAGTACATCTGATCTACTGCTTTTGTCTTTTAAGCTGTGAAGCATAAAAAAAGAGCAGCTTGGCCAGGAGCACAGAACAAACTATAAAGCAGTGTCTGGAGCTGAAATCCCATTTCTGTTGGACTGGGTCACTTGTAGAGCAGCTGAGTAAGAGCTCAGCAGAGAGGCTCACTTTAGGGATCATTAGGAAGTCTGTTCTGGCACTCTCCTGCAGTTACTTGAGCTGGAGAATTCTGGAAATGAGCACTCAAACAGTTCTCTTAACACAAGTGTGTTTGGAAGATCATGTCTGTAACCCACACTTACTGGCATTTTCATCAACCTTCAGATAGGGCACTCGTAGACAGTTCTTAACTGTGCTTGGCTTTAATTCCACCTCTTGGATGGTGAGTTGAAGCACAGTAGCAGGGTGGGATAGCTTGGGAATGTCCTGTGTCAAATTTTTATGCCTTATAAACCAGAAGCGATGTATGCTGACTACACCAGCTATTGATTTATGGCAGATCATGGTAAGGAAATGTTCATAGGTACAATTACAGCTGTACTCTAAATCCTGGCAAGAGGGAGCTGGATGTTTGGTGTACAAGTGAACTGTGGTGCTCCCATGCATACTACTTGTTACCTTGTGACCCAGTTCTGGAATCAGCTGGCTGCAGCTGTGGGAGTTCTGTTGTCTTTGTGCCCCTAAACAACTTGTGTGATGCTGATAAGCTGTCATGTGCTCCTCTGTTCTGTAGCCTGTGATTTGTGCTCAGTCTCCCCAGGTTCTGATTAGAGCTAGGAGAGCATAGGTTGTATCAGATGGTAAACTGTCTTGTAATGTCTTTTACAGGCCAAGGTGATGTGGTGAGGTGTTTTTACTGTGATGGAGGTATGAGGAACTGGGCATTCGGAGATGACCCTTGGAGGGAACATGCCAAATGGTATCCAAGGTAAATATCTTGGCTTACAAGTGTCCCTTGTAGCAAGACCAAGAGACACATGTGCGTTCCACTCAGTTACTCTTCTGTTTTGTAAGGCAGAAGTACTACCAGCTGAGAGTCACAGGTGTGCTGGTAATGGCTCATAAACTGATGGCACTGCTTGATTCTAAGCTTAACCCTACTACCTTCTTACCCACTCTTAAGAGGTTCTGCACAAATACATTGAAATCTTTCTGCTTGTAGGTGTGAATTTTTGTTGCGATCAATGGGGAGAGAATTTGTCAGCAGTGTTCAAGAGTCCTTTGCCAGCACTCCACCTCCAGTGAGTCATAAATATTTTGTGTGTAGTGAATGAGAGTTTGTTGGGATGTTCTGAGCACGTTTTTCTTGTGGCATTTTCAGAGAGATTCCAGGGATCAGACGGGACGAGGGTCCTCTGCTTACCAAGGTTAGTGCTGTTCTGTTTAAGTGTTGTATCTTTTTCTTCTACCCCACTCTTGCTTGTATGTTCAGAGTTGGTGCTTAATGTTCTGATATTTTAGAAGCAATTCTCCTTTATTCTTGGGAAATGGTCTCTAGCAGAAGAAGTACTTGTTCTTGTAAGGCCTCCTAGCCTGTTTAAGACCAATTGTATTTAGCTAGTCTGGGTAACGACTTGTTTGTCCCATCTTACTTCTACTTGTCAGTTCTGTGATGTTTGTCTGAATCTTTTAGACTACAGCATTTTAAGCAGGCCAGAGAACAGCTAGAAGGTCCCTGCTGTTATTGAAAGCATTAGCCTTGGGGATCTATCCTCATCTGCTACTGGAAACTTAAGTAGGTTAACCTTGGCTCCTGTAACTGTGGAAAAGTGATTTTTCTCATTCTCTTGAAGATCCTGTCTGATAGGTGAGCTTAAATCTTTAAGCCTTTGAATGAACTGCCAGCAGAGTTTTGCATTTCAGTTTTACTGATGAATGTTTCAGCTAGACTGAGGCAGGAGAGGTGTAAATTGAGAGATTCTACTTGATCTTCACCAAAACAGTTCTGATATTTTGGCTGTTGGACTGGAGCAAAAAAAAAAACTGATGCTGGAGAATGAAACACCTGAAGTTACTCTCCTGATTCTTATGAAATTGCTTTTGTCTTGGTTCTTTTGAGTTATTGGAAGTGGAAACTGTCTATCTTGATGTTACTTTATCTATATAGATAACCTGTATCTTTAGAAACTAATGCCACTTCATATGTAATAGTTTCAGTGAGTAGCATACTGTTTTTTGTGAAGAGTCTGTTTACTACTTTACAGATCTTTTAAGGAACTGGAAGTTGCAGACTCTTCCTTCTCTGGATCAGTTTTCTGTAGCACAGAATGTCCTGGAGATGGGCTTTAACCCTGCTTGGGTTGCTAGCCTGGTAGAGAATAAATACATACTGACTGGGACTTTCTACCTTTCTGAGTCTGAACTGATTTCTGATCTGCTTCGGCCAGAATGGGAAGAGAGCAGCAGTGCAGAGGAAAACAGAGGTATGCCTGACTGATTTGCCCACCCACATTCTTGGTGGATGTTCAACCTCTTACTCACTTTATCTTGAGCACTGTTATGAATGTCTTGTGGGTCTGCTTTCTCTCTTCCTAGACTGGAATTAAGAGTAGGTACATACCAAAGGCTGCCTTCCTTTGAGAGGCTGAAGAGTGAGGTACTTTTAAAGAAACCTGAAGAGTCTGTTATTACTGGAGTAACTGATACAGATACAGGAAATGTCTCCAGTAGGCTGTGGTGCAGACATCTTTGATGTTTTCTGCAGCCCTTAACTGCAGTAGCAGGTGTGCATTATGTGGGGCTTATGCACAAATTGCCATCCTTGGGTGCAGCTGACTAAGGCAGTTGCCCGAAGCAAGGCTTTTTGGACAGGTACGTTTAAGGTCTATTTAAGATTGCATCAATGACTTCATTAGAAATAGCTGCACTTTGGCTTGGGTAATACATATTCTACTTGGTTTATCTATGTCTATTTTGTGGTGTCTGCTGTATGGAGTCTGATAAGTGAAGTTTATTTGAAGATGTTTCCTGCTAGCCTTTCTTTAGTAGCAAGTCTGCTTTTTAAAGCTACTGTCTCCATATTGGTCTGCTACATTTGTCCAGACAAAAATGAAATGACTTCCACAAGACTGAGAGCGATGAAACAGTAGCAAAGGAACAGGAACAAGCAGCTGATGACTCTTATCTGATGGAACTGTGGAATCATCACAGAATGGTCTGGGTTGAAAAGGACCACAATGCTCATTTCATTTCAACCCCCTGCTATGTGCAGGGTTACCAACCACAGACCAGGCTGCCCAGAACCACATCCAGCCTGGCCTTGAGCCCCTCCAGGGATGGGGCATCCACAGCCTCCTTCAGCAACCTGTTCCAGTGCCTCACCACCCTCTGAGGGGAGGGTGGAGGGGAAGCTTTGAGAAGATGATAGGCATAGGCACGTGTTAACCTCCTTATGAGGACATACTGACATAAGCACCAGGGAACATCAGCTTGACCAGGCTGAGTGTGTAAGGTTGACAATTCTGTAAAGACTGCTTGACTGAAATAAGGATATTTCAGCTCTTTAAGCAGCATTGTCTGAAGAGGGTGGGAAGGAATATGTTTAATGCCTTCTTTCCTGGTTAAACAGATGCGGTTCAGAGAGAGGCTGAAACATCAAGTTCAAGAGGAGAAATGCAACCTGTGCAGCAAAAAGGTGCACTGGGGTGACTGGTGGGGGAATTACGTGCAGGCATAATGAGGACAGCTTTTGTAGTAACAGTATCGTGATGGTTGTATTTCTCCTTAGTCTTGGAAAGGAGCGTGCAGTAGCCTGGACTGTGGCAGGATGTAGAGACCTTACTCAGGATTTAGAGCTCCTTTGTGATGCAGACTTATCTTAAAACAGTTTGGGTTTTCTTTAATCAGGGATATATACTGAAGTACAGTGATACTGATACACCCTGCTCAGTGTGCAATGTGCAGGTGTATTAAGTCTTAAGTAGATAAGCTGGAGTTCATAACAGCTGTAGCTAATAATGCTTAAGTGAAGTCTGCTTGAGAAAAGTACTTCTGCTGTCATTCTGGAAAAAAGGAGCAGTTGCTCTGACTTTTTAACAAAATGATCTGCTCTCTAGAGCTGTCACAGCATTAACACTATGGGTTTTCTTTTTTCTTTTGTGAAGAGGAGTCTCCATTGAGCACAGAGGAACAGCTCCGACGCTTGCAAGAAGAAAGGATGTGCAAAGTGTGCATGGACAGGGATGTGTCTGTTGTATTTGTTCCCTGTGGCCATCTGGTAGCTTGTGGAGAATGTGCCCTCAACTTGAGACTGTGTCCTATCTGCAGAGCAGTCATCCGAGGAAGTGTGAGGACTTTCATGTCCTGAACCACAGTGTGCAAAAAGGAAAAATAAGTGTCTAAAATACACTCCTATGCCAGCAGAGAAAGAAACAATTTGTTACTGGAGCAGTCTTGTTTTAGGCCAAGCTATCCTGCAAACTCCTTTCTTGCAGTGCTTCCAGTAGGAGCTGGTGATTAGCTCTGATCTTGCTGTAGGACTGCTCCAGAAAAACTACGCCAGTTTTTTTCCTTCAAAATGAGGTTTTTGCTGAAGGTAATCCTCCAAATACTTGTTCTCAAACAAATCCCTTTTCTGCACTGAAATCAAGGGCTGTTTTCAGCTGTCTGTCTGGTTCTCTTCATTTAGTAGTTTAGAGAATATCCTGCTAGGGCTGATGGATTCCTTCAGAAGTGTGGGTAAAGTTAGAGCCTTTTTATACCAAATGCATTCAGTAGTAGCTAGGATACTCAGTAGGAATGTATTGAGAGGGGGAAATAGAAAGGAGAATCTAGCTCTTCTGAGGTTGAATTATGGTTTTTTTTTCTGTTGAATTTTCAACAGTTGGAGAAACTATTTTTTAACAGTACTCAAATCTACTTAACCCTGCTCTGTTTCTCCAACCTCTTTGCTCTCAGCTCATTATCCTTCTAGGCAGATGTTGAGAGACTCTCTGGAGCTCTCGGTCACTGGATCTGAAACTTTCTTGTGAGGCCTCTTCACTGGCTGTTAAGGTCTAGTCTTTTGCTAGGAGAATTTTTTTCAAAGGAAACTTTTTTTTAGGGCTTCTGTTTGCTGGCTAAACCAGTTTTTAAATATAATATTCTATCATGTAGTAACAGACTTGTAAGCATGCTAACTGCAGGGAAGATGTTTTTAAATTTTTCTGTTCTGTTTAACTGAATAAAAGGCTTGTCTTATGAAGGTCTGAGTATCTGATTCCAGTATAATGTCCTACTGCTGGGGGTGGGATCCTGGAATATTAGAGGGGAACCAGACATAGATATGGTTGTGAAGGATGGAAACTTGTAAGTGGGAGAAGCAGATTCTTACCGTCATTAATTTCCTTTGAAATACAGAAGACAGTGTGGGATCTCCAGATTCCTGGCTGCAAGGCAAGGGAGGATAAGGACCAGATATGTGAAGTTGTGCAAGTGAGAATAATTCTTCATCTGAAATTGATGGAGAACTTTAGTACCTGTCTCTTAAATAGCATCTATGGAGACTGGAGCACAGGCTCTAACTCTGGATGCCAAACAGGACTGAAGTCTCATCCCTAGGCCATGTGAGAGAGAAGTATTCTTCATCTTTCTTTTCAGGAGAAGGTAATTCTAATGCAGCTCATGGCAAAGATGAAACCACCAGCTAAGCAGGTTAAACTCTCAAACTCTGAGGGTTGGTGGATCTTTGGTATCTAGCAGCTCTTGTAGGGAAGAGTTGTATCACCATGCTAAACTAAGTGTTGTGGCAGGGTTCAAGCTATCATTGCCTTTATTTTGCCACTATAAATAACAGCAAAAGCTGCCTGCATTTAAAGTGGATGTGCTAATCTGTGAAGGGGGGAGTGAAAAGTAGCTCAGTGTTGGAGTAGTGCTATTTCCTTTTAAACATCAGCTCAGAGCCTGGAACGTAGCTGAGCATCAAAAGGACTACAGGGTGTGAAATTGCCCAGCTATTTCTGGGATTTTCTTGTAGGTTTTTAAGTGTTTCTATGGAAAAAATATCCCTTCAGGAGCAGGGACAAGTTGGTTTTTTTTTTTTTCTTTTGCTGGTTGAAGTCCCAAGTGCTACCTATCCCCAATAGAGGGCACTCCTAGCCTCTGCTAAAGGAACCCCCTTGTGGAAAAAAAACTGTTGCTCCTTCATCTCGTGGCATGCTGGAGATGCAGGCATCTACAAGTCGCTGCCCTAGCAGAGTATGGGGTTTTGTGTAGTCTTGCAGTAGTTAGGGTAAGTCTACTGCAAGCAGACCAGTAGGAGAGTTTTGTCAGAGTGCAAAGGATAAATGTTTCTGCTAACAAAAACTAGAGGAGGTACAAAGAAAAGTGCATCATTGTATCTTTGACTTTTAGCACTTAATGTTTTTATTTTTTTTAATCACTTCCTTGCACTTTGCTTCCCTAGCTTGGCTTCTGGCTTGGCTCTTTTGTAAAGCATTATTCAAGAATCCCAAATGGTTTTAGGCTAGACAACACAAAGAATTACAACAGCTTGTGGAATGCTTCAGCCAAAGAAAGCCATGGATGGCAGACAAGCACTCTTTCCCCTGCTTGAGGCTTAACATCCTGGAAGATGTAACTAACAAAAGGGATGCTGGTTTTTTTTTTCTTTTTAATTATTTGCTGCAGCTTATTAATGCAACTTAATTACAGTTCTATTGCCCCTTTCTTCCTCCCCACTCCCTCCCCTCAAAATTATCCTGTCATTAAAAATACCTTCCAGCAGGAAGCTGTTGGGCCTGTGCCTGGAGTAAGTGTGGCTGCTTGGCAAAGAAGGCAGGTACAAAAACATGATCCACGAGGAACTAGGCATTTACCAGTGTCCTGCAGCAGGTATCAGTTGTGCACGTGGCTATACCAGTAACTTAATGTGGGTAGACAAACCCAGAGTAGGCTTTAGCTGCTGTAAGTTCGGCATGTTGCAATGGGTTTAAGTTCATACCAAGTACAGATTTGGCAATTGTACTAGTTCGTTTTTTTTAGCTGTTCAGCATTTATAGTAGTTAAATCACAATGTTAGAATCCAAGCCAAATTCCTTACTACTAAGGAGTAGAGAATGAGGGAGTCTTGGATAAAAGGGAGAAAGGGCAGATCTCTTATCTACAGCATTAAAAAAAAAAAAGGTGGGGTGTGTAAGAGAGCCTAAACTCAAATAGCCCTTGCCTAGTTTTATACAGGCAGGGAAAAGCTGAAGTTGTATTAAGGGGATTTAGGCTCTTTCCAGACTGAGGAAAGGAGAGAGGGAAGAAACTAACTACAAAACATGAGATGTCCCGGGGTGTTGCAGTGTTTCCTTCTCTGTGGATCCATGGTGGAAGGAAGCAGCTCTGACTTCTCCTGCATCTCTTGAGACAGGCTCCTAGTGAACTTCTGCCTGAGGATTTCCAGTCTGTGCCATTTGGCTAGAACCACCCACTGTGGTAGGAATGGTTCATCAGGGCACTTGTAGAGTTAAGAACAGACTGTGTGGTCATTCTGCAATGTACATTCATTTCATTTGAAAAGAAGACAAGGAACAAAAAGTGGAATGGAGTTCACCATCCTGCATTTCCTCTGCCATAGACCCAGGCCACAGGGGATTATTTCCTGCAGCACCTTTGGTGGAGTGCAAGATTTATCCATCCTCTGGCTCCTCCTCATTTACGCAGGCCTGTAGAGGAGAAAAAGCGAAGGCAGGATATTAATGCAGAACAAAACATTTTTATTACTTAAGGTAACAAACCGGGAATAATAAGGACAAAATTGTTTTTTCTGTCCCAAGCTTGTAAATATGGGTGACTACAGATAAAGAGTAGGATTGAGGAATCAGATACAGTGTGGTTAAGTCATCTTCAAATCTGGGAAGAATATTATGCATATACCAGACTCAAATATACTGCGGTTAGAGTAGGGAATAGATGTGAGCCAAAGTGTTAGATCCATGGATTGTGAGCCTTGGAGATGCATAAAACTTGGTTAGGAATTTTAAAAGCTAGGGATCATCTCTGGAATAAAATAGCTCTGTAAAAAAGCATATCACTGCAGTTTCAGTGCAGAAGCGTAAGCATATCTACTTCTGTAGCCAGCAGTAAGGATTAGAATGTTTTCAGCTGAATCATCACCTCTTTAAACATGCAGCTTCAGGTTGATAGTCAGCAATTTTTATTTTATTTTTTGTTTGGGAGGGAAGTCTACCTAGAAAGAAAAGCAGAACCATTTGTGTATGCGGAGCTTTCCTTTGGTTTTGCCAAAGTGGGCTCTTTTTTCCTGTTCCAGTAAAGGTTTCCTTTGTAAAGCATTCTGATCATCAAAACAGTTAGGACTTCATTGTTTTTGTTTCCTCCAAAGGTCGTTTTAGTTTTTCATGTTCCCTCCCCCATTGTTTCATACCTGTCTGCTGTACTGAAGAACCTACTTTCAACCTGCTCTGTTACCTGCAGTCTACTCCTGTAACTCTGCATACCCACAGCTGTTTCATGCCTATGGCTAGCAGACTGACTGCACCATAAAGAATTGATTAGGAGTTATCAAAGTGAGCAGTTACCAACAGAGCCCGTAATCATGCAATCAACCAGTGCCTCCTGTTGCTATCCTATCAATACTGAAGTCAGCATCTGATAAAAGTCACACCCTTTGTTACCCTATGGCCTTTCAGAGAGGTAGATGTGAGGGAAGCAGGGTTGGTGAAATCAAGCTATGTAACTAAAATCAAATTAAAGCTGTAAGTTACTAATGTGATGCAGTACTCAGACTGCCAGCTTCCATTTATGCTATGGGCAGGAGCCCGTAAACTGTGTTTTGTTGCTGATCCTGGAAGTATGGCATTCAAAGGTGGGGAGGTGTGTTGTCGTTCTCTATCTTTAAAATGAATAGAGGTTATTTCCTGACATCTAGTGAGTTCTTGGGTTTGGTGTTGTTTTTTTTTTTTTTTTTTTTTTAATGTCCAAAACTATGCTACAAGACTTCTGCTTTATAACTGAGCTTACAGAGCATTGATGCTTGAAACAAATTGAGATGTCAGAAGAATGGCTACAGCCTGCAGGAAGTGCTGGTTATCAGGATGATCTGAACCTCCTGCTGTCTTGGCAAGCATTACAGATTACTTGAAGATAACAGCTTTAGAAAGAAACTGCAAGGCTATGTTTGTTGACCCTTCTGCAGTTACAGAATGCTTTTCTTTGCTTCAAATGATAATTCTGTTACTGCAAAGACAAAATAAGAAAAGCAGTCCTGCACTGATGTTCTCTCCTATGAATCCTAGGAGAAGAGGTGGGAAAAAAAGCACAGCCCGAGTTTGAACTTTAACTAATGAAAAGCAAGAGCTCAGCCTTTCCTTCTTTCTGGTTTTTCAATAACTGATGTATTGTTGTGTGGTTAAATATTTTTACCCAGAAAGTAACTTCTCTCAGGATTTCTAATGTATTTTTATTGTTAAAGACTTAGTGCAGTGTGTTGAGATTAAGGGCATCTCATCTATACAGCGGAATTTCTAGAAGTCTCTTTCTTAAGCTTGTGACTTGAAGCAGGAACCAAACCTCCCCAGAGTCAGTGAAAAGTAGAACAGAAGCAGTTGTAGAACCTGAAATAGAAATAACTGTATTTACGGAACATCACTGTTGCCCTCTGAGTAATGGAAAGGCTAAGAAAGATGAAGCTTATTTAAATCATGCCTTTGTAAGCAAAGTACAAAAGTGTCAGTGATTTTTTTTTTTTTAATAAAAGTAACAGCTGGCTTTGACCACTTGCAAGGCTCCAGTTAATGGAAAAGCAAGCAAGTGGACTGAAGTTGAGTTCAGTAGTAGATTCAGAGATAAAGCAGGCTGATAACAGACACTGCCAGATCCCAG